TTGTTTTGGACTTCAAAATTTCTAAAGACATTTGTCTTGGAGGTTATTAAATCTGTGTTGCTGGATCTATTAGAAAGTTTTGCAGTCACATACACTAAATTCTTCTGTCTACTCACAGAAGTCTGAAGTTCTCAACCAGGCTAATTACTTTGTTACATTTTTGCACTTCAGCTTTTTAAATATGTAAAATATTTTTCAAACAATGTAAAAGACATATGAATGCTATGATCCTAACACTCAGAATGAATTTCACAGATTCTAAATACGTAAATTGATTTTCTATGCAACTTGATGGAATTTTAGGTTCTTTTTATACTCTTTAGCTCATACAAATTTTATAGGTATATAAAATGATATCTAATTGAGTTCGAAATATTTCACAATAGCTTTGTCTGTCTATCACAAATTTTTAGGTAATCCCACTCATATAGTTGGCAAGTAAAAAGATAATTGAAAACTTTGGATAAATGGTGGGGCTTGACAACTCTTTGGATTCATTGTAAAATAATCAAGTACTTTTTAAATAAAACTTATTAGATAATTGGAGAGGTATAATTTTTCTTTGAAGCCATTATGCTTTTTAAGAAGAGAATAATCCAATATCTTAACTAGAGGTGGGAGAGAATAAGGTATAATCACATATCATATAACAACATTTTGGGCAACAATGGACCACTTATTTAATGGTGTTACCGTAAGATTACATTGAAGCTCCCCTATACAGGTGTAGCATTTTAAACGTTTCATACAATATTTTTCCTATATCTTTTTATGTTTAGATATACTCACACCATTGTGTTACAATTGCCTACAGTAGTCAGTACAGTAAATATTCTTTACGGCTTTGTAGCACAGGAGCAATAGGCCATACCAGATAGCTTAGGTGTGTAGCAGGCTATACTATCTAGGTTTGGGTAAGTACAGTGTTGTGTTTGCACAACAACAAAATCACCTAACAACACACTTATCAGAAAGTATCCCCACTGTTAAGCAATGCATAGCTGTGATACAGGAGTCAGGCAGGGAAGTGCTGGGTAAAGAAGGTTGGGGTTCCCAGAGAGGTTTCCACCTTCATGCCTGTGTCCATGGACCTATGTGAGGACAGCCATTTCTGTTTCTGTGCCCCAAAAGTTGCCTTTCGGCTCATCATGCCCCCATCCTGTGCCCATAAAAACCTAGGACCATAGTGGGCACACACATAAGCAGCTGGATGTCAAGAGGAGCAGAAGAACACACCAAAAGATACTACCCGACAACAGTAGGCCATCAACAGCAGGACAACTGGAATTCAGTCAGTGGCAATTGGGGGAGAGTCCATACACTGGGCAGCCCGACTCCAGGGGAAGATCACCTTCCCAGTCCATCCCCCTTTAAGCCCCCCATCCACCTTGCTGAGAGCTACCTCCACCACTCAATAAAACCTTGCACCTATCCTCCAAACCCACATGTGATCCTATTTTTCTGATACACAATGGCAAGAACCCAGGATACAGAAAGCCCTCAGTCCTTGCAACAAGGCAGAGGGTCTAATTGAGCAGATTAACACTAGCAACCTGCAGATGGCTAAGCTGAAAGATCATACTATAACACACGCCCACTGGGGCTTCGGGAGCTGTAAACACTCAACCCTAGATGCTGCTATGGGGCTGGAGCCCAAAAACACTCCCCTCAACCTGCCTGTCTGCATGCTCCCCCTAGGAATTTGAGCAGCAGCGCACTGAAGAAGAAAGCCACACTTCTGGCACATACCCTCCAGAGGGGGATGAGGGAACTCTTCCCATCTAAGCTGTACATGCTTGACAAGGAGTGTAATGGGATCAGGGAAGAAAAGTAGTGCTGAGGTTTCAAATAGTTCCATATATAGATTTTTACTTAATGCTCCTGTTTACAGTCCATAAACTCATTTTTTTATTCTATGTGTCTGGATGTATCTGAATCTGGTAAACTTCTAATGAATAAGCAATAAATAAATAATCCTCCATTCTCCTGTGAGAGTAAAGGTTTAAGTATAGGAATGAGGGGTAGTGGCCTATTTGTGTAGTGAGATACCTATTTTCCTGCTTTCAGCCTTATATATTATCCTGGCCACCCACACATATTTAACAGAGTTTCTGGCATATTCAGTAGAGTTTCTAGAAAATTTTTCAGAGAGTGTGTTCTGGTTTTCCTTAAGAAGTGTTTTGGCAGCCACTTATTTTTTACCTATCTCTGTTCTGCTATGCCAATTACCACACAACTACATACTTTCTTGATCTAAAATTTGTTGAATTCATGTATTTATTCTTGTCTCCTACTCTAGCTCTTTTTCTTTGTTGGTAACATTTTTATTTATTTGCTCTCATTTGAGTGAGGTTTTTGAAGGAGGAGGACTTCAGATATGTGCAATCTTCCATTTTTTAGGAGGTAGTTTATTTAAATGCTTCAAATTGAGAAATAGTACAATATACACACCCATATAATTTGGTATATATATACACACACATACATACACACACACACACACCCACACACACACACACATATATATATATAATCCATATATATATGGACACCATATAATCTAAATATAATTTGGTATATAAATATAATCCATACATACATGTATATATTATATATATAATTTTAGGAATAATTATATTGTGTTCATTACATTTAATAAATTTAGGGTACAACAATTATAATTTATAATGATTATATTGAAATATGTATTACATATTTTTTAACAAAATATTCTAGTATATCTGAGCTAATGAAAAGGATTTGTTCTCTTAAGATAAGCATATGATGGAGAGAAGGTCAGAATAACCTAATGAGCAGGGCATGAATTACAATCAATTTTAATGTTCATATAAGAATGGTCCTATTTGATATCCCTAGAAAATAGATAATCAGAAAAATAGTCTAGTTTGTGAAAAAAAATGAAATTTTCCTTCAGACACACAACCAGTAACAACCATTACATTATTTTAGAAAAAAAGGTATGACATATCTTGAGAGTTATAATATGCCTAGATCATATTGTTCTGTGATAAAAGTTATAACATGCTTGCTGTTAGAAATTGGTTAGTCATCACAGTGAGAAGCTATTTAAAATGGGACTGACCTGAAAATAAGAGTTCTTGTTTCCCCCATGTTGAACATGTTCTCTTTTTGACTAATCAACCAATTATTATATTTATTTATCATTATATTATACAAATATCATAATTAGATTTATACTAATTCAGAGAATTCAAATTTTTGTTCATACACAAAATAATTAGAACAAACATTAATATTTCATACAGAGTGTTTGGGAGACATGGAACTTGACCATGTTTTTGCACAGTGTCCATGTTTTTGCACAGTGTTTTCAAAATGGTAGACAATACATGCACAAAAACTATTATACACAGTATAATATTATTTTCCTAATGCTTAACATAAGATATGAAATATAATCTGTGCATAATAAACTTTTGTAGAAATAATGAAAAGCCATTCTTGTCATTAGAAAAATTATGGTGAATTGCAAAACATTAAAGTGGTTATACCTTCAAGGGAGAAAGATTTGAAGAGTTACGGGAAATAATATCAGATTATTCAGTATTTTGGGTAGTCTTGAAAGGGTATGAGGAAAGACAATTTTTTTAATGGTTAAAATGTCAGAAGATGAAATTAGTTGGTGGAAACATATTTGTGAATATTTTTAGAACTGACTCATTTCAAAACATCATGACTGGCAATACTGAAGGAAGTATATGAAATTCAAAATAATGGGTTTATTATAGCAAATCCTTCTATATTAATAGTAATTAACCATCTGCAGCTTTCATATCACAAGCAGAAACTCATGATAATATCCTGCTCACTAAGGCATGAAAAAGCTATTATTTACTCATTAACACATTAGTTTAGTATTGTTCCTTTAATTACCAAATTCCAAGATATAAATTATCAGAAGCTTTCTTTCAAACTATAGATTATATATTTGCTTATACATTGATTATTTTTAAATTTTATAATCTAGAGAGAAGTAAATTTTTGGAGATTACAAGTTTATTCGTTTTTCTGCTGGAAGAAAATAGATTTACCATCAATGCTTGGGTTACATCACACACTCCAGAAAATGCAATAAATATATATTTATTTCATATCTGAGATGTCTGGCACAAATCTTTCTGAAAGGCAGAAAGCATGTAAAATCTAAAAACTCCTGGAAAAGTGCTAAATGCTGTAATCCAACCTGTCATAACTGCATTGCTGTTTAAAGATATTGCCTGAAAAGAACATTTAGAAAGCTCTTGGGTTGGTAAATCAAAATGCTTCACTTTTCTCTATGGGCAATCAAAGTGATTCAATTTCAGTCCTAAGAATAGTGCTGTATATATGGAGGTAGAAGTATGAGAGTTGAATTTTCCTGATGTTTATTTATCTTCATATTTTCCCTTAGATAATTTCCTTTTCTATATAATAAAGAAAACAAGGAGGATATGTTTAAGGGTCTCACCAAGCTCATTTTGTCATAAAAGCCAGTTATTTTCACACAGAGTCAATTATACAATTAAATATAGAGCCCAGTGGAAAATAAAAATTTGAGACTACTTATTCAAAACTTATTAAGAATTTTAGAATAGCATAAATCTATACACAGTTCTCTTGTAAGCTTGGGGATCTGTATGACTGCATAGATCACATGCCCTGTTTGTGTATAAACAGAATTTTACTGATGATGTAGTTTAATATTCTAAACTTACAAATGAGGAAGTATAGAACCAGAGAGATTAAGTGATTTATCTATGATTACTGTATGTATGAAAATATGGAACATCCTAGGTTCCTGCCTTCAAAATAAATTTAGTGTTGCTTTTTGAAAAAAAAATTAAGACATCTGACAAGGTAAATAAATTTTATGAATTGAGAAAACAGCAGTGATGACTCCAAGTGTTTTAAAATTTTTGACAATAAATAAAATATATAATACAGTTATTAACTGCTCACTTGATGTTGCCCAATATAAGGAATGTACTTAATGCCTCTGAATTATACATTTAAAAATTATTAATATGGTAAATTATGTATATTTTATGACAATAATAAAAAAGTCCCTGTGATCTCTCTATTTATGTAGACAAATAAATGTCCATTTTTAAAACCATGTAACTCTCTTTTTTAATCTTACAGGAATATCTATTATTTCCATGTATCTGTGTTTGGTGGTTATAACAAGAACACATACTTCTCCGGGATTATATTCTTAACTTTCCTATCTTCAGTTCTCTTTCATCTGTTTTTGTACTAAAATATTCTTTCTTTCCTATACATGCTCTTTATCCCTGATACAGTAGCCTAACTTTTTCCCCTCTTCACAAACACACACATTCTCTCATTTCCAGCTTTTGAAGTCCAACTTATCTTTCAATATCTAAATAATAGGTCATTTCTAAGAAGTGTTCCTTATGCTCAACAATAATCACCAAATATTCCTTTTCTTGTGGTAACAGTTTGTTTTTCTCTTATTGTGTGTATTGTATTCTGCAATAAATTATACTTAATTGTGCTCATACTGGTTTCAGTGTCTCAAAAATTGGTTGATATCAGGAAACTCAGCAAATATTTATAATTATATTTGCCTTTTGATCACTATAAAAAAAATTAAGCATTACAAACTTTCCTTGGATTCTAAGCCTTGAAATGATAAACACTTTAGAGCTATACTTCACATGAAACTATAAATCATTGATTATTTAATATTAAAAAACAGAAAATTTTTACATTTGCTCTTTAACATTACAGAATAAGAGGATAAAGTCCTTTCTTAATGCTTATAAGTACTCACAATGAATCCAATAGTTCTCTGTGAGTTAAATGTTTCTTTAAGTTACTTACTGCTCAAATGCTAGAGACCGACTTTATTTTTTTCTTTAATTAGTACTAAGAATTAGTACTTATAACTTTTCTATAAACCTGAGTATAAAATTCAGAGAAACAGCATTTCAATGCATTTTTTCCAAACAAATGTCACTTTATGTTTACAGTTCCAGTACCCATATAAGCATTGCATTCTTGTAACATATAAGCCTATCCTTTTTCTTAATTCTTTCAGAAAATTGGCCATGCTTTGTTAAATCTCAAGAAAAAAGTTTATAATTCCTCCTGAGTCAATTGTTTTATAATAAGACATCCCTTTGATTATATTCAAACTGAGGTCTATTTCATTCAAACAATAAGCATTAAGCTTGAAAAACCAAGTTAAAATAGTTCTGCCTTAAAAAATTAGGTATAATAGTGATTGATGTAACAAGAAAACTTAAAATTAAGGCCACTTTGTCCTTCCCAGATAATATATTTAAGGAATATATAAGTCCTCTATTTTAAAAATTTACTTAAGTCCTAATTTTAGCAAATGATAACTAAGAATGAATTGACTCTTATGCAAGTCCTTTAGAAGAGTTAATTTAGTTCAGTTCCAAGCTAATGTAATGTGGGCAGAATGTATCTTATTTTTTATGTATATTTACTTATTATAATAAAAATATTTCAAGAAATATTTCTCTGGAAATGAAACATTTACTTTTGGCTTACCAAAGTATAACAGAATTTCTAATCTAACATTAAAATTATGTAATCTTTTGTTTATTAAAAACTTTCACAGGAAAACACATTTTATAGTTTTAACAGCGTTCCAGACAATAAAACAATCTAGAATTAAAAATTATTTGTGTCATTTTGTGTATAATTTTATATTTAAATAATTTTATTTTGTGCTTATTGTAAATATAAGGGTAATCCTTTTGATACAAGAATGAAATTGCATACAAAAGAATAAAGTAGAGAAAATAATTAATACAAAATATCTCAAATATAAAAATAATCCCTTTTTCTTTTTCAAAAAGTTTTTGTATGTGTGCATATATTGGAATTTCTAAAAACTGAGAGAAGTAGGTCATAAATCTCTTACTATGGCTGAAAATCTATCTGCTTAGTAAATCTGGATTTGCGTTATAACTGGATGACTTTTCATCTAATGAATAAAAAATCATGGCTAATATATCTTTATTATGATATCACTGAATACCAATTAAGATTATGATCAGTACATCTCAACTTTGCGGGCTAAAAAGAAATTATTAATAAAGAATTTTGTCACTACTTGGTAGTCATTAGGAAAAACAAGTTTTAATTCACATATTGTCTACCAAGGTAAACATCAGAAGGATTGAAAAAAACATAAGGCATAAATAAATAAAACCATACAATTAGTAGAAGGAAATCTGGGCAAATTACTTTATCACCTGCAAGTGGATAATGTAATTCTAGCTAGGTCCCAAAGTTCAAAAGACAATAAGAGAAAAAATTTGATTTGATTGGCTAAAATTCAAAATTTCTACATTGACAAAGTCAAAACATTAATAGACTAAAAGATAAATTTGATAATTTATATTATCAAATATCAAATATATCTCTCATAATTTATAACATAGACAAAAGCCAATTACCCCAATATAAAATAAGCTAATAATCCAGAAGAAATATAGTAGACTGAGACAAAAATTCATAATCGACATTTAAGGAAATTTATTGAAAGAAACATGAATAGCTTTCAACATGTAAAACATAGTTCAACTTCAGTCATAATATGAGAAATATAAATTGAAGACACTAATATATAGTTTCTTGCCCATTAAATTGGCAAAAATCCAAACATAAAGACATTTTTTAAATAGAAAAGAATTCTCCAAAATGAATGAAGCTAATTATGAATCAAATTAGAAACTAAACTACAGAAAGTATGTTTTAAAAATCAGTCAGTAGTTTAATTTTGTATGTGTTTAGTAAGATATATTCTAAAAATCAAAAATAGACTTCAAAAAATTTTGTTATTTTGCATTCTTAATTTGTAACTTATTGTTATGCATAAATCAGTGCCTTTGTGCATTGTAAGAGGAAGTAAAAAATACTGTCAATCTATATTTTGAACAAAAATATTCTAAAATCAAATGAGGCATACTATGTATCCAGTTAAAAGTTTACTGAAAATATTGTAAAAACCTTACAATTTCTGATATATATTTATTTTTTAATTTTACTTTAAGTTCAGGGATACATGTGGAGAACATGAAGGTTTGTTTGATAAGTTCAGGGATACATGTGGAGAACATGAAGATTTGTTTGATATACATATTTTCTTGTTCTGAACATTGAACTAGCCCAAAAACTATATTTTCTTAAAATTATTTTCTCGAAATCCACATTTTAGACTTCAAAGCCATTTATAGCTAAAAATAACTAGGTTTTGGTAAGGAAAACATTTAGTACTTAAAATATCTTATGGTTACAGAAAACAGAGAATTTTTTAAAGGTTAAGTTTAATGAAGCTGTGATAAAAAGACCCAGGATCTAATTTGAAAAAATCCCAGTGGAAAAAAAAAAAAGAAAAGAATGCCAATTTGGGCATCAAACAAGTAATGACTTTAGTTAATTGAAACACATTAAATCTATGAAAATCCATAGGTAGAAAACGATACTTCAAAAAGAGTAAGCCAGAAAAGTATCATTCTCACCACCTAAGATGATTTAAAACCAAAGTTTTACTTTCAAGTATCATTATTAAAGGATAAAAATTAATGTAGTCTGCCTTTACAGTAGGAATTATTTTTCATGATAACCAGTTTAACCTATTAAAAGAATGTTGTCTTTTAATAGCTTGTGAAAGCAAAACATTAAGATAATTGAATTTATAGGGTTAGATAGCAGAATACTGGCTACCAGAGGGTGAGAAGGGTAGTTGAGGGATGGAGTAGGGAGTAGGGATGATTAATGGGCACAAAAATATAATTGGATAGATTGAATAAGATCTAGTATTTGATAGCAAATCACAGTGAATACAGTCAAGAATAATTTATTGTACATTTAAAAATAACTGAGAGAATATAATTGGATTGTTTGTAACATAAAGAAATGATACATGTTTGAGGTGATAGATACGCCATTTACCTTCATATGATTTGTTACCCATTGTATGCCTGTATGAAAATGTCTCATGTACCCCACAAATACATACATCTACTATGTACCCACAAAAGTTTAAAATTTAAAGCTTAAAAAAGTAGCTAGCTAATATATATTCAAAGAACAATAAAATAAGGAAACTATCAATATGCAACTAAAAAATTTAAGCCTTGTGCAGTGGCTCACGCCTCTAATCCCAGCATATTAGGAGGCCAAGCAGGAAGGATCGTTTGAGCTCAGGAGTTGGAGACCAACCTGGGTAATATAGTTAGACATCATCTATACAAATAATAATAATTAGCAAGGCATAGTGCATGCCTGTAGTAGGCATAGTGGTACATGCCTGTAGTCCCAGCTACTCAGGAGGCTGAAGAGGAGGATTGCTTGAGCCCAGACAGTTGAGGCTGCAGTGAGCTATGATTGCACCACTGTCCTCCAGTCTGTACTACTAAGCAGGACCCTGTCTCAAAAAAAATTATTCATGCATGTTTTACTAATTGGAATAAAAATCACTAGGAAAATGGCTGATGTGGATCGGACATTCATCTGAAGAATAGCGTAAAAACAAAAGAAGGATCATATTAACCCACTGTGGAATCATTGGTTAATCCTTAGTCATATTCATAGTGGGTCAACCAGATAGGATGAATCTCCTCATGTAAACTATACTATATAAACTATACATCATTCATTATTTAATGTTGCAAAACAATTTTAATTTGAATCTTACCAACACTTAGATATAACTTCCTGTTTCTAAGAAATAGTAAAGGCTTAATAAAACTAAACGACCCCTGGAGAAAACTATCACAGAAATTCGAAAATATGGTGTATTCTGCAAGATTGCCCACATTAAAACAGGGCTGTTGTTATAGGACATTTCTAAATTAAAAGAAATGTAAAGGTTGTAACAAAAAGATACAATCCACGATGCTCTATTAAACAAAACCTACTAGTGAAGAATACATTGGGAATAACTATAGAAATGAACTGGCTTCTAGATGATAGTAAGGAATTATTGTTAATTATATGTTATTTTGTCTAAGATGAAAATGGTTTTATATTTTGGAAAATAAATACCAAATTATTCATGGATGAAATACTACATTTGAAATAACTTTAAAATACTTAAGCTAATAATAATACTAACAAAGCTACTAGAGTTAGATTAAGTGCTTTCAAAGTTTGAACTTGCCGCTTGGTAACTATGTGGCTTCAAATATGTTACTGAACCATTCTGATATTCTTTTCCTCACCATTGAAATGGGGCATAAATAATACTTCCTATCTCAATAAGCTTTTCTTTTCTTTCTTTCTTTCTTTTTTTTTTTTTTTTTTTACAGATTTAGTTTATAAATGTAAAGCACTAAAAAAACAGTACCTGAAACATAGGAAGCAAAATAAGTGTCCACTCTTATAGTATGCTCTAGTGCTCATTTTATGAATAAGTCTTACGTTCAGTATGTGCCTATTTCTTAAAAATAGGTTGAGCAGATTCTTATTAATCCATTTTTTGTCTACTCAGGTCATAATTGAGTTCCTTTATGCAACATAGGATTTGGTTATTTAAGTTGTCTTTTTAGCCATCATATGCTGGTAGGTTAGGAAGAAGAATGTGCCTTCTATAAGCAGAGACTGTATCTCTACTCAACTTGTAAATTGGCTGAAACCTTTAGAATGGGTCTTTTTCTCCAAAGTAGAGACCCACACTTTCTTGTGGAGTTCAAAGCTTAATATTGTTTTTATTTTTTAAGGTAAACCAATCAATCACTGCACTTACAAATCAGCTTAAAGATTGTCCTCTCACACTACAGTATAAGCTTTTTGCATTGCTGTACTATGCATAATTCTCTTTTGACTTTGTAGCCTTTATTTGCCACTGCCAGCTCTTGCCTTATGTAGCTACATGATTTTCCATCTTTCCTACAAAAGGAAAGAAAATGTTGTATAATTTTCTCATTGGAAGGTTGTTATACATGTTACACACTCTGAGCACTGACAGAATTAACATTTGAATGCCTAGGAAGTGTTGAGAACACAGAAGATCAAGAGGGCAACTTGCTGTGGCAGGCATGAGTCAAGTGTAATCAGAAGACATACAATTTGAGGCTTCTCATTCAGATAAGAGGGACAAGAGTAGAACATGTGTCTGAAATTCTGGCTACTTGGAGTGCTTCCCAAGAGACTGGTATCTGTCTCTCTTGACTTAGGGAACTGACAGGAGGCTGAGATACTTTTGATGCCTGGTTGCTGCCGAGACCAAAAGAAGGAAGACTAACTTGCTACCAAAGAACCCCAGAACTTGAATATCTGGTGCAGGCAGACCAGAGGGAGCAAGAGAGTAAAAGCTCCTGTCAAGCCTCTCTGAAACTGCATACACAGGCTCAAAGAAATTGCATCTCTTCTGCAAAGCTTTCAGATGCTCCCAGGATTTTTCACCAGGCTAATTCATGAAAGTCTTCCACTGTACAAGGCCCATTTATAAAGACAAGTAGAGGAGGCTATTTCTTTTTCAGATGAATAAATTCCTAACAGAAAGTTCTAAAATAACACAAACAAACAGAGAAACATG